ACACTTTCTTTGTCAACATTCTACTAACCCTAAACCTACCCTGTCTACTCTGAGAGTTAATATACATGTAGTTGCAAATTAATGAGAATTAGTTGACATGTAGTTGACATGTAGTTACAAAGTTACTTATAGTTAGTAGAATGTCTAAAGTGGACTATCGGAATAAAGTGTAACCTGAATTTTTTAAGTTATTATAACCTAAAGATGCTATGTGAAAGTTTGAAACAGAAAATAGTGGTTTTCATCTCGCCACTTTCTTGGTAAAGAAAACACATTTTTACTCAAATTAATCTAAATGGATTTATAGTGTTTTGGAACCAAACTCTTCAAATACACCTAGCAACACATTAAAACTCACTCAGAGTACCTTGCAATTGCATAGCAACCACAAAACCCTGACAATCACTCATATTCACTCATGTACTTAGTGTGTTTAATAGGAATGTGCATCTCCATAACTGAGGCAGATGCGATACGCATCTCGATGCATAGCCAACGATACGATACATTGAAGATACATATGAAGTAGAGAGGAGAAATCAATCTACATATAAAATATTGGTCACAGATTATTGGTCACTTTCTAAACAATAAAAGTGTAGCCATCCACTAGTAATTATACATAAATAAATCTGTGCCAAATTTTTACAGATGCAAATATGTTAGAAACGATGCATCGCGATACAAATGCCAACTTGTATCCGATGCACACTTTTTAAACTGATGCATTGCATCGTTAACGTTTTTTAACGACGAATCGGTGAATCTTCCCATCCCTTGTGTTTAATGTGTATAAAATGTGGCTCATACCCTAAAAATGGCAATTTCAACAAGCTATAAAAAATTATCTGTAGGGTATTTTGAGCTAAAACTTCACATACACACTCAGGGGACATCAGAGACTTATTTTACATCTTGTAAAAAGGGGCATAATAGGTCACCTTTAATGTTATTGTTGTTGCAGAACTCTACCCGAGTCCCCTCCTGACTCCAGTTCAGAGCCATATTCACCCCAGCAAGCCAACGGTAAGTTCAGTCCACCTGAACCGTTTGATGTGAATCGAATTTCAGAAACAATCAAGACTGCAATTTATTTAAGATTTTTAAAAATTCTAAAATAATCAACCAAGAACATACACAGAAAATTGTTTAGTTATTGTTTCAGAGGGTGAAGAATACCTTATGATGCATAAATGTAGAAATCAAAATTGAATAAAATGTTAAATGTTACTTAATTTCTGCTTATTCATTTTCCACCTTAGATCCGCACATGCTCAGGACAATGACGCCCGAGAACATGTGTCACATGACCAGTCCTCCGCCTCTCCCCACACACCCCCACTATCCCAGCATGCACCGGGACATGTACCTTAAGCCAGAGCCCATGATTTCGCAGTATCCAATTGGTCCAGGCAGTGGCGGGGGCGGAGACATGCAACAGAGTCAGATGCTACATCAACTCCTGCAACATCCACAAGGACCTGAGTAAGAGAGAGAGAATCACCAAGGAACATTTTTTTGCTAATTTTATTATGAGGTTGCTCCTTCATAGCTGAGGGGACTTGAATGAGTTTGACCCTCTGAGATTTAAGCAATGTGAATTTTTAATACATTACATCATATATACTGCATATATATATATATATATATATATATATATATACACAACATATTTGCATGATGTTATTTCAAGTAATTAAAACAAATAAAAACAAAAAATACTTAGAATTCATCATTCATTTTTTATTTTATTTTAGTTTAGATTATTCATTATCACAGTCAGCAGTACTATTACAATCTCAAAAAACTCTAGTGGTTCATAAACGCCAAGTGAACAAATATTATATATTATTTAAATTTAAATCTTGATTATTATTTTTTTTAGTTTTAGTTCAGATTAGAGTTAGATTATTTAAATGTATTATTAAAAATTATTAAGTACTTTTTGCTTCTTTAGATTTTCTTTGGATGTTTGCTGAAGCCCTGTAGTGGGCCCCACCCCCCTGTTTTTTTATTTTATTTTATTTTTTATTTTATGTGGCATTTAGTGGTAATAATACAATCTAACAAAACCCATTTGGTTAGTAACCTCCAGATGAAGTATTATTTCAATTTACATCTTGATTTATTTGTTCTTTTAGCATTTTAATTTAGATAAGAGTTATATTATTTCAATATATTAATAATAATTTAGTAATTTCAATATTTTTAAGTCATCTTGCACCCCGCTTGTAAGTTTGCTGATGACCCTTATATGGCCCCTGTTTTATTTTATTTTACAATTCTATTTTTTATTATTTTAATTTATAATTTATTTTATTTTATTTTGTCAGATTCAGCAACTATTACAATCTCAAAAAACCCTAGTGTTTTGTTAACTTTGTTAAATGTGAAAAAACACTATTTCAATCTTGACTTTGTGTTTTTTTATCATTTTAATTTAAAGTATTAATAATAAATAATTAATTTAAATAGTTTTAAGTTATCTTGCAGCCTCTTTGGAAGTTTGCTGAGGGCCCTTAGAGGGCCCCGGCCTCCTGGTTGAGAACCACTGCCGTAGAGGTAGAGATGGACCAGCAGTGTCAAAGATCAAAATTTTCCACATCAACAAATGAATGCTCTGTGTTTCTGCAGTGGGATTCCAGTACATCCGGCAAAGAAGAGAAAACATTCAGACTCTCCCAACAGCACTCTCAACTCTCAGATCCTCACAGGCATCATCAAACAAGAGCCAGGTACACACACACACAAGTACCTGAACACAACTGCATTTTCAGCACTACATGACTATATGTATTTGTGCTTTTACAGGTTTGATGCAGGATGCAGAAAACTCATACCTGGATCCAAACTACCAGTGCATAAAGTGGCAGCCGCACCAGCAGAACAAATGGACTACAATATACGACTCCAGTGGAAAAGAACTGTGGGTGCTGCTCTGGTCTTACACACCTCTGCATTTAGATTTACGACAGCAATGAGAAATGCATCGAGGGCGAGAGTGTGTGTTTGGGATTTAATGGGGTATAAGGATGTATCAGGCTGTACTAAAAGAGACAGAAGAGAGAGAGACAGATGGCAGAGGCCAGAGAATTCCTATGAGATGAGCAGTGTGTAGGAGTGAGAGCAAGAGCAGAGTTCTGGCTTATAAGAGAGAGGAATGAGGATGAACAGAGAGAGAATGATCAGGAAGAAATGTACCACAAAAAAAGTCCTGATGGTGATATTGATTAAATTAATTTAATTAATACTAATTTATTATTAGGAACATTAATTATGATGTATAGGAATAATTATCATTTTTTTTAAATAAAATTTTTAAAAACTTTTATAAAATTATTTATAAAAAATTTACATTTTAATTATTATAAAAGCAGATATAGTTACAGTTATATACGATTACCATTTTTATAGTATAGAAAATCAATGACATCAGTATTCATTACTAAATCTTAATATTAATAAATACTTTTCTTAAAACTTTCTAAAACAAAATGTATGTACCCCACTACACTTTTGAATAACATTGATTGCATGTAATCAAATACATTTATTTAATAATTATTTCTAAAATTAAACTAGATAATTAATCATTATTAGTTCTAATAATTAACATATATTTTCAATATTATATAATTTAATATAACATTATAAAATAAAATATATTTAAAGAAAAGATAACCAGAAATAGATTTTGTTCTCTCTTTTTGCCTCTCCAGTCCGATGCCTACATATAGGGTGGACGCAGATAAGGGTTTTAACTTCTCCTTGGCTGATGATGCATTTGTGTGTCAGAAGAAGAACCACTTCCAGGTGACCGTGTACATCGGGATGCCAGGAGATCCCAACTATATCAAGACCAGCGAGGGGCTACAGCCCATTGAATGCTTTTACCTGAAACTCAATGGGGTCAAGGTGAGCCAGACCACAAGAACACGTCATACTACTACTGTCTATAAACTCTTGCCTGTTCTAGCGTGTTTTTGTCTGTGTGTCTTCCAGTTGGAAGCGATGAATCAGTCCATTAATGTGGAACAGTCACAGTCTGACCGGAGTAAAAGACCCTTTAAACCAGTATTGTAAGTTTTACATCATATTTGCTAATATTATGTGTTAAGAGCGTGGATTTGAATTGGCCTGTGACATAAATGTTAACTATATGCTTTACAGAGTGACATTGCCACCAGAGCAGGTGACCAAAGTAACAGTGGGTCGTCTCCACTTCAGCGAGACCACAGCCAATAACATGAGAAAGAAAGGCAAACCAAACCCTGACCAGAGGTACAAAATATAACCATGACAAAGTAAACCTGACCAGGTTTATTTACCACTTCTATCGTCTTTTGACAACATCTGTGTCACCTTCAGGCCATCCAAGATGTAGATTAGTTTGTTTCTTCATCAGATTTGGAGAAATGTAGCATTACATCACTTGCTCAACCATGGATCCTCTGCAGTGAATGGGTGCCGTCAGAATGAGAGTTCAAGCAGCTGATAAAAACATCACAATAATCCACAAGTAATCCACACCACTCCAGTCCATCAATTAACATCTTGTGAAGAGAAAAGCTGTGTGTTTAAAATATGAGTCCTCTTTCCATAATATTGCTGTTACCAGTGAAAAAGTCGTCTCATCTTAATCAGGAGAGAAATATGCAAGCACCGTTTACAAACAAAAACAGTCCAAAATTGTTCCAAAAAAATACTGTATATTGGTGTATTTTGATGTAAGAGGATAAAAAGATATGGACTTTTTCACTGGAGGAAGTGGTATTATGGATTATGGATTATGGACCCTTATTTTGGCCAGAAGCAAAAAGTCTTGATGATGGATTTGGTTCTTACAAACATGCAGCTTTTCTCTTCACAAGATGTTAATTGATGGACTGGAGTGGTGTGGATTACTTGTGGATTATTGTGATGTTTTTATCAGCTGTTTGGACTCTCATTCTGACGGCACCCATTCACTGCAGAGGATCCATTGGTGAGCATGTGATATAATGTTACATTTCTCCAAATACTGCCAATACTGTCCACAGATATTACATAATATCAAAATAACAGAATATTCCCCTAAAACTCTTAGGATTGTTCTTTAAAAACACTTACGTTTGTATTTTGTGCAGGTACTTCATGCTGGTGGTAGCTATTCAGGCTCAGTGTCACAGTCAGAGCTTCACGGTGGCGGCTCACGTCTCCGAGAGGATCATCGTCAGGGTAACCGCTGTCAGTCTGGTCGTGTCTGACCGACCTCCTCCAATCACAACCTGTTTCTGTGTCAATGATCCACCTCTGACCAATCGCTATTACTGTTACAGTCTGTTATGATTATGCTGCTGAATTTGTTTGCATGTACTTTTGACTTCTTTCAATAGGATTAGATATTGTGCCATTTTTGACTTTTTATTCTTATTGAGAAATAAAAATTCTGAGGAAATCATTCAAACTTATTTGAAGTTTTATGTGTAAATCTATTTAAAAGTCAACTGAATTAGCAGTAACACCTTCCCTTCCCAGCCAATTACTTAAGTTTTTGTACTTTTTATTGTTCTTTCTTTCTTTCTTTCTTTCTTTCTTTCTCTGTCTCTCAGGCGTCTAACCCGGGTCAATTTGAGAGTGACAGTGAAGTGTTGTGGCAAAGAGGGCAGATGCCGGACTCTGTATACCATCACGGCCGAGTCGGCATCAATACGGACCGGCCAGATGAGGCTCTGGTTGTACACGGCAATGTGAAGGTCATGGGTTCCCTTGTGCATCCTTCCGATATTAGAGCCAAGGAGAATGTGAAGGAGGTACATTTTTATGTGTGTGCATATCTCTCCTTACACATGCAAAAGATCTTACATTTTTTAACTTACCTTTTTACCAATTAAGAACTTTTACCAACCATGCAAACATTTTTTTAATAGTCCTGAACTATTTCCATGTTTTTTTCTGTTAATACAATCATTTAACTGTTTGTATTTGCAAACAGTCCACAAATATATTTCATACCTCTCTCTTTCTTCAGGTGGACACCACTGATAACCTGAGGCGGATTTCCCAAATGAGGCTGGTGCATTATCAGTATAAGCCTGAGTTTGCAGCCACAGTGGGCATTGATACCACTTCTGAGACCGGTACTGTCTCCACAGATCAATCCTAGTATAAATACCCAATTGGGGTCATATTTCTCCCCAAAATTAAAGGAAAAAAATATTTTGCATTAAGAAACTGGAGCAGATTTGTAGGGCTATGAAAATCATCAACTCTTATCATTTTGTCTGGACCGTAATAAGAATTTGTGTTGGTGAAAATATGTTTAACAGTCATGAAAATTATATTACAATGCAAAAAAAAAAATCATAATGTTACTAAAACGCATGCTAAATCAGTGTTATTTTACTACAATTTATGTATATTTATTACTATTTTTAATTAGATTTTTATTTTTATATTTTCAGTTTTCATTTTAATTTTAGTTATTTTAAAAAGTTATTTTATTAGTTTGTTTAATATTTCTATTTGGCTTTAATTTTTATTTAGTTTTAGTAATTTTAGTACTTAAACTTATTTATTTCAGTTTGATGCTAAGGCAACATTTCAAATTTTTGTTTATGTTTTTTTAAATGTAAATGTTTCATCTAATATTCATATTTTAGTATATGCCAGCATTTTGTCAATTATCAAAAAGATTTTTCATAGTTTTAGTTAGCAATAACAACGCTGCTCTAAAATGATTCCTTATTTTCTCCTTTTAAATATAAGGCAAAATGTGACCCGGACATTTCTTTGTGAGATTTATTCATAAAGGATTATTCCGTTACAATCACTATGTAGTAGGTAGGACTGTAAAACTAGTGCTTAACAGAAACTTAGTGTGTCCAGTTAACAGGTTGTGTGTGTTATCAGGGGTGATCGCTCAGGAGGTCCAGCAGATTCTGCCGGAGGCTGTGAAGGAGGGAGGAGACGTGGTGTGTGCTAACGGAGAGACCATCCCTAATCTACTGGTGGTCAATAAAGTATGAGCACACAAACACATTCTTACAGATGCCCACACAGTCTCTCTGCCTCTCTCTCATGTGTGTGTTTGATTCTGCAGGAGCGGATCTTTATGGAGAACGTGGGAGCGGTGAAGGAACTCTGCAAACTCACTGATAATCTGGAGACTCGCATTGACGAGCTTGAACGCTGGAGCCGAAAACTCGCCAAACTGCGCCGGCTAGACAGCATGAAGAGCACCGTCAGCGGAGGCACAGTCAGGTGTGTGTCTATGAAGCTGTGCACTCACACATGTATCTGAGTAAATTCAAAGTGAGGAAGTCTGAAGAAACATGGTCTTTTTTCTAGTCAATCAGGAAGCTACTTTAGCAGAACAGGAAGTGGCCCACTCAAGAAAAAAACTGCTAAGCCAGGAAGCAAGGTAAGATTTAAAACAGTTTTCCTCTTCAAAAAATGCATGTATTAAAAACAATAATGGAATGGAATGAGATGTGATGTTACTGTCTCATTACAGGTAAGTGTAATGAAATTGTGTACTGAAATGATGCAATAGAATCATATTGGACATGAACGAATCACAAGGAATGCAATAGAATCATGTGGGACGTGATAGAATCATATGAAATGGATATGAATCATTGGATGAGATGTGAAAGATTGACATGAAACTTGATAGAACCATATGGGATGGGACAGAATTATATGGAATAGAATCATATTGGATATAAGATAATCATATGAAATGGAGTATAATCATATTGGATTGGGATAGAATCATATGCAATGGAGTAGAATAATATACTGTAAGATGGGACAAAAATTATATGGAATAGAATAGAATCATATAGGATAGGATATAAATCATATGGAATGGAGTAGAATCATACTGGATGAGATGGGATAGACACATATGATGGGATAGACTCATGGAATGAAGTAAAATCATTTTTAATGGGATAGAATCATATGGAATAGAGTAGAATCATTTTGGATGGGATAGACTCATATGGAATGGAATAGAATCATGAAATTGAGTACAATCATATTTGATGGAATAGAATCCTATGGAAAGGAGTGGAGTCATATTGTATGCGATAGAATCAAATGGAATGGAGTATAACCATTTTGAATGGGATAGATTCATTTAGGATGGAATAGACTCATATGGGATGGAATAGAATCATATGGAACAGAGTAGAATCATGTTTAATGGGATAGAATCATATGGAATGGAATCTTATAGGAAGGGATAGAATCATGTGGAATGGAATAGAATCAGATGGAATGGGATAGATTCATAAAACAGGATAGGATACAAACATAAAGAATGGGATTGCACAGAATCAGTGGTATATGATGAGATGGAATGTAATGGAATAGAATAATTTGAACTGGGATGGAATAGAATTGGATGGGATGGGATGAGATGATTGTTGTTGTTTTTGCAGCGGTCCATCCCGGAGCAGAGCTGCCTGAGTCACAGATTCATGCAGGGCACCATCCTGGCGCTGGTCATCATTATGGCCTTCAGGTGAGAGAGGGAATCATTTACCCCCAAACATTAGAATGAATATTTTGAGTGTCTGTTTCATGCTCATTATCATCTCGTTCTGTAGTGTCATCTCCATGTCCATCCTCTATGTGCTCAATCTTCAACACCATGGAAGCATAAGTGATGTTGAGGGGTATGTACATGTTCACACACACTCATCCATTCACACGAACACATCTCCACGTCATGCTCAGAGGTCTTTCTCTTTATTTCTGTACGCTCTCGTTTGATCTCCTCCTGCTCATTTCTCTCAGTGTCGTTTGTGGCTCTGCGTCCCGCTGCCTTCTCTTCGTCTCTTGGACGCCCTTCCTCACTGTAACCGTCACATTCTGTCCATCCTTCTGTCTGTGGTATGCTCTCCTCTTCCTTTCTCTCTGTTTCTCTATCACTTCGTCTTCCCATCCATGACCAAAGGTTTTCCAGTCCTACGTTTCCCAAGAAAACCATTTTAGGAAACTTGTATTATTCAGAGGTTTTTAAGAAGAAGTCTCTTATGTTCACCAAGGCTGCATTTGTTTGATCAAACTACAGAAAAATCTGTAATATTGTAAAATAACATTACAATTCAAAATAACAGTTGAATGCTTGAATATATTTTAAAATGTAATTTATTCTGAATCTTCAATAAAAAATTAAAAGCTTCTGGATCGTCAATAAAAAAATCTGAATTTTCAGCATCATTACTCCAGTCTTTAGTGTCACGTGATTCTTCAGAAATCATTCTAATATGCTGACTTGCTGCTGAAGGCACATGTATTATTATTGTCTATGCTAACAACAGTATTTTGTGGAAACCATGATCATTTTTTTCAGGATTCTTTGATGAAAGAAAGTTCAAAAGAACAGCATTTATTTGAAATAGATGCAGAAAACGTTTGATTCAAACTGGTATCTTGGCAAATCTAAGCAAAGTTTGAGCCATTTATTCTCAGCTTAATCTCATTCTGCGAGAAACAGCTGAAATATTAAAGAGACCTCATGTGACCTCTCTCTCTGTCTCAGCAGGTCTCGTTCTGCTTTGGGTTCGGCTCGTCAGGCTTCTTTCTCCCCTGCCAGAGTGACCACATCCACTTTCTCCCCAGGTTACAGAAAACACACTCATGCTCACAATACAGCTGTTGTGTTTTTTTGCAATACACATATGTGGATTATTACTTTCATAGAAGTTCATTATCTGTTTACAGACTCCACCGCCCCATCATTGTCCAATCACCCGCCCTGCTGCCCTCCAACACCTGCCACAACCAACCAATCAGCCACTATCAGTCTGTTGCCAAGCAACAACCAATCCACTCCAGGTATGACAACAATCACCAGACAAATGAGAAATTTTGACAGCCATCAGAGCAGTTACAAACAAATGACTTTACTTAACACTTTACTTAAAGCTTTTATATGTAATGCATTATAGAAGTAGGCCTACTTTTAATGCATTAATTATGCCTTGTAATGCACCTTATAATGCACTGTATGATCTAATGTATAATTATCATAGATTATAATACTTATCTATTAATTGTTACACCTTTGGAAAGTATAATCCATTAAACAAATAACAAACAAACAACTTCTGATGTAACAAAGAATCTGCAGATTCTGTAATGCTTTTTTACTTTAGTTACAATTATTTATGAAAAGATTTAATGAATTATAATGTACATTATGAATATCTTTATAATGCATTATACATAAAGGCTTTAAGTAAAGTGGTACCAGTGACGCTTTATACAAGAAATTAAAATGTATCTACTTTCTTAATACATGCCTTACTCTACGTTTTTTTGTCTGGTCAAAAAGACCAGTGTTTCACTCAGAAAAATGCATCACATTTTGGAAGTAAAATGGTTGAATTAATGAATCAGTTTGATGAATGAACTAATTCATAAATCAGTGAATTGACACATCAGCGATATCTTCTCAAAACTCTTCTATGCTGCTCCTTTTGTTGGATTAAATAGAAAAAGGACTCATTCAAACCTTTTCACATACAGTATCATGTCTCTCTCACTGTATCTCTCTCTCTCTCTCTCTGTCTCTCAGACTCCAGCACTGGTGTTCCCACCCAGGCCACTATTAACAAGAAGGCAAAGTCTCGGCCGCTGGACAAAGACAACTGGAATAAGAACCGTTTGAGTCACACGTCAGCTCCTCTGTTCCTCAGTAAAGGCAAACGGCCGCCTCAACCTCCAGAGCTGAGCGGAGCAACCAAAGGGATGCATGATATTGGATTTTTGCCGATATCCGATATGCCGATACTTTTCAACTCATTTTGGCCGATACTGATACAGATATATTTTCTTTTGTTTGGAAACAACACCAAGTCTCTCCTGTGCAGAAATTATAAGCAAAATTCTGAAAATCTTTTAGAGCTTATGATTTGTTTAAAAAATAAAACATATTACACATTAATGAATAAATCAGTATATATAAAATTGTTTAATTTACAAGTGTCATGTTTGTGATTTTTTTCTATAGCTATAGCTTCTGACCTTTAAATCAAAACATACTCATTATTTTATGACATCAATTACTGCATTATTTATTCAGTCTAAATGTTATTTGTGTAGGCCAGTGGTTCTCAAACCTCTCTATGAAGTACCCCCAGCAGTGCACATTTTGTATGTCTCCCTATATCTGACACACCCACTTCAGGTCTTGCAGTCTCCACTAATGAGCTGATGAGTTGAATCAGGTGTGTTAGATGAGGGAGACATACAAAATGTGCAGGGTTGGGGGTACTCCAGGACAGGTTTGAGAACTACTGGTGTAGGCTATTTTACTTTTAATTTAATTAGAAGTAGGCCAACAGCGTTGATTAAAACTTCTTAACGAACGGGCATTAGGACCCGGAGGAGGCTGCCGCTGCTGCCACTCACTGCACTTGCTATTACTGTTTACTCTATCACACACCGAATGCATCATTCTGTACGTGCTTTCTCACTGTAAATACAGCGATCCAAAAGAGTGAATCTAATCATCATTCAGACAAAACTTTGCTTCAAGAATGAGCCACACTGCTGATGTGATCTAATCACTAGCACACCCTGAGCAAATGTGAGTTAACATATTCCTCTTATCGGCAAGGCATATCGGCATAATTTTTCATATCAGGCCGATGCCAATATTTATATTTAAAGCCATTATCGGCCGATTCCGATATCAGTCCAATAACATCGTGCATCCCTAATATATATATATATATATATATATAATGTAAATTTAGAATAACACTTTAGTTAAGGGACTAATTCTCACTGTTAACTTGTTGCTTATTAGCATGTCTATTATATAGACTCTATATAGACTATTAGCATAGTTTATTTATTAGTACTTATAAAGCACATATTAATGTCTTAATCTGCGTAAGCATATTTTAGATCCCTTAATCCAACCTCATACCTAAACTTAACAACTACCTTACCTACTAATAATAAGCAGCTAATTAAATGTTTATTAAGGCAAAAGTCATAGTTAATAATTAGTTAATAGTGAGACCTGGTCCCCAAACTAGTGTGACCCTGATGTTAAAATACTGTACAAGATAAGAGGCGTGCAAACCGCATATAATCAGAAGAACCTTACCCTAGTTCCAATAACATGGTCCATTTTTTTACTATGTAATCCCTTTCTATGAGTGTATTTATACCCAAACTTGTAAGCATCCCACCAGAAATTATAAGTGCTCACACCTTTTATTGCTAAGGAAACTCTCTGCTCCATCTTTGAACAGTATCGGACGATCTAGTGACTGGTCACTTTGTAGAGACGTGCATGATTTAGCCTTGCACACACACACACACACACACATATACAGTATATATATATATATATATATATATATATAATGTAAATTTAGAATAACACTTTAGTTAAGGGACTAATTCTCACTGTTAACTTGTTGCTTATTAGCATGTCTATTATATAGACTCTATATAGACTATTAGCATAGTTTATTTATTAGTACTTATAAAGCACATATTAATGTCTTAATCTGCGTAAGCATATTTTAGATCCCTTAATCCAACCTCATACCTAAACTTAACAACTACAAGTAAAACTAAACATTAAATTAAAATTTATTAGAATTTTTTAATTAAATAATTTTCAATACAATAAGCCTATTACAATAGTTTTGACAATATATGTATTTTACTCTGCAATGTTTGAAAAGGGTGATTTTTTTTTATCAAAGAAGCTTTTAAAATAAATTTACTCTTAAAAATAAACATTATATTTCATTGTGTTTACATTTTGAAAATATTTATTTTTTATATTTTAAATTATATTTAATTTTTATATTTAATAACATTTGTAAATTCTTCCTTTGAAAACAGTCAGTATATGTATTGGCTCTTTAATGTCTTAAAAGGGTGATTTTTTTCCATCAGTAGCTGTTAAAATCTAGTTAGTTATATTTATCAACATAACAGTGCATGATAATAAATAGCTATTTTTACCTACATATACTTTCATAATCATGATCAGAATGAGCTTTATTCGCCAAATATGCGCAAACACACAAGGAATTTGTTGTGATATCCAGTAGCTCTGGGTTTCAACATACATATAACACAAGAGAATAAAATATTTTTACTAAAATATTTTAATATATGTAACATGCCTCATATAGATGTGGCATAAATATGTTTAAGTGAAATGAAACAACTCACTGAATCAGTTATCATTTGATTCATTGAAATTAAATTTACCAACTCTAATACTAGTAAGGATTTTGTGACCTGAAAGGGACTAATGGAAAACTGATAAAAACCATAAAAAATTCAATATTATATTTATTATGTATGTATATATATATATATATATATATATATTGTTTT